TAGTTATAAAACCAAATTTGGAAAAACAAAGAAGCACGAAGAATAGAGCCTTCAAGTTGAAAAACCAAGAGTTATTAAGTTTTTACTTTGTGCTTTGTGAAATCTCTCATTTTCTTGTTCTCTTTCATTATAAAAAGTGAGTAAGAGATTGAGGAAACCTTGTTGATCTAGTAATCCATTCTTGAGATAAAGAAAGGGTTGAGAGATTTGTAACAAGGGGATTAAATGGTTCAATAAAACCCGTAAGCTATTGGGTAACCTTGTTAGATTTAGAAAAAAACCATCATTGTGAGATAGGATTGAATCAGTGAGAGATTGTAACAAGAGGTTAAATTGTTGAAGGTGGATAGCGCTAACAAAACTATTGTAAATGATTGATTCTACGCCCAAAAGTTAGAGGAAAAATTATGAATTCAAAACTAACTCTCAAGCAGGTGGCTTGAGGAGTGGATTTGGCACTAATTGTGACCGAACCACTATAAATCCTTGTGTATAAGCTTTTTCTTCCTTTAATTTTTAATTTCTGTACTTTAAATTTGTTGTTTACAATTGTTTGTGCTTGTTTATTGTTTTGTTTTTGGAAGCTACATAAAATTTTTGAAAACATAATTAATCCACCCCCTCTCTTGTGTTGTCACATGGGCTAACAAAAATTTCCCCTCAAATTTTCTACTTTTTATCATTAGTCTTCGAAGTAAAGATTACAATCTACCTCAACTTTCTTTTCTTTTTTTTTTTTTTTTTTGGGGCAAAAATCAGTTAAATCATAGATTGCAGTGTATTTGGACTCTTCTCCACTCTCTGTCTACAATTCAATCAAACCAGTGTTGATAGCAAATTACTGGCACCGCCTCCAATTTTTTCGCCACCATTATCCCCTCTCCTAATTATTCAACATCATCCTTACAATCATAGACTCATAGCCTCCTTCCTCTTTTTCCTTTTTTTTTTTTTTTGAAAATGACTTACAAATTTGTACTGGCCAAAATTCACATACTACTCAGTGCACATTATTTGGGTCGGTATGCAACTTTTTAACTGGTACAGTCGAGAAATTAACTGATATGGTACAATGCCCTATGGTATACTGGTTTTATGCGAAATTCAGTATGTATCAGCGACACAATACAAAATTGACAATTTTACTTTTTTTCCCCTTATCTGGAATGCTAATATAGCATGCTATGTACAAATTTCTTGTTGAGCTAGCCCTCCCAAGTTGGGTGGCTCAACAATAGAGGTGCACCTTGAGTGCACTGAGAATGGCAGAAAACTTGGGAAGTTTTTATTTGAAGATGCACAATGGTTTCCGACACGGACATTTCCTATTCTTGAAGGAAATGGGAAAAGCAAACTGGACTCCTTCAACTTTGGATATGTTAACATGTTAGTCCCTAATAGGATAGTGTTACTATTCTTGTATCTAAAAGCTCCCTATTTTATCTCTTGTTTAAATTGAAAAGAGTGCAGAAGGACGAGTGCGTGAAAAAACAGTGGGAAACCTGTGCAAAAAATTAGAGTGAGGTTGAGAGCAAGTCTCCCTTAGTGATGGTAGAGCTTTGAGAGATTCAGATTTTGATTCGAAAGTTATAATTCATTTTCAGTAGTGGATTGTTTTTCATCTTGCAAGTGTCTCGTGATTTTTTTCATTTGGGTTTTTCACATAAAAATTCTGATATCCTCTTTATTTTACTTGCTTTGCTTATTCTGTTTTGGGTGGTTGATTGTGTTTGTTGATTGTGTTTGTTGATTGCTTTGATTCTGGGCATTAGACCATTAAAATCACAACATTTCCCTTTCTAAAAAAGATAAAAAAAGAAAAAATTAAAGACACCTTCAAATTATCATTTTCGCATGGTACACCAACAGGATAGCAACCCTATTGCCAAATACATAAATAGTAGGAAACAAGACTACCTTTCAAATTGAAATTCTATCGTCTACTGCCCTTGCTTGTTGATCCCAAACAGCCAAGACCAAAACAAAGGACAAGTGCCCCCTCCACCAAAACCTCATACCACTTTGCCAAATAGAAAACCACCAACAATAACAAATAGAAGCTTCAACCCTACTGATTGTCTTAAATGATTAAAAATTTATAGTTTTGACTTGAAAATTTTACATTTGAATCTTGAAATAAATAAAGAGAAATAAAATAATATATTATCTCTTATTATATAAGCTATCATTTAATATTGAAAACAAACAAAAACCTTAAAATCACATGAAGCACCAAGAGATTTGATAGAGTTTATTTTCAGACTTGTTGGTAAGCACTTATTTCTCTTATAAGTTTGAAATTAAAATTTTTTTTTCCTTAAAAGAAACATTATTTTTTTTTTAGTTTAAAATGATAAGAAGCAAGATTTTTTTTTTTTTGGATGCCGAATAATAAGCAAGGTTTGAACTTGGTTTTTAAATTGCTTATAAGCAAAAAAAAAGCATCAGCGGCATTGAAATTTTTAAAGAGGCCAATGTGTTTTAGAGAAAAAAAGTTAAATACTGGTCCCACATCTCTTTGTAAAGGGCAAAAACACTTGAGTTCAGCTGTTCAATTTTTTGTTTTGCCAATGATAAGCGCTTTAAATGCTAAAAATTATGCTGTAAAGATTCTTAATGAACAACTTTGCGCTTTGGTCTCTACAAAATGCTAGGTTTTTTGTCTTGTTATTTTCTCTCTGCTATTGGCATGAGATATTTTGCTATCTCTCTTTACTTCGGTTGCCAACTGGTCTTTGTAGGGGTGTTACATTTTCTATTCCATGGTCTCTGTCTTGGGGTGGTAGAGGTGGCTGGTGCTTTGGTGAAGTTTATGTTTAGGAATTTGGTAAATTCGGTGGGAGATCCTAATCCTATGTGTGATGGTCATGGATGGATGTTTTTGGTTCCGTCGTTGGTGGTTGCAAG